CACCAAGGAGAAGCCTGTGTCTATGCAAGAAGCCAGCGCAGCCATTCTCTCTTACCTCGGATCTCGTACTCTTCCACATCCTCCGCGGAGCCGGAGTCAGAGAGACGCATGGAGCCGTGCGAGCTGAACTGGGACCCGCTGTCTGTCGCCATGAGACCTGGGAGAAACGCAACACGGCCAGGGTCATCAGTGGAAGCGCTCTGAAGGGTCACTAACAGCTAAGGGAGAAGTTGACAGCCCAGTATTGCCAGGGCAGAGAGGAATGGAGGTCAAGGATGGAAAACACTGTGGGTTCAAAATTAAATTACACTGCATAACTCAGTGTTATCAATGTACAGTATGAGTCCCGTTATGGTCTTCACTAGCAGCAGAGTTTCACAAATCTCTGCAACACTTTGGCAACAATACGATTGTTTCCCACAAACAGGCAGGAAGGACAGGCCACGGACAGAAAACCCACATCCCACCAGCCGATGAGCCCAAAAGACATCACCCACTGTCTGAGCCCATCTCCTGGCAGGCAGGGAACAGCTGCCGGGTACGGATCTGCTGGCGCCGAATGCGAATCTTTTGTTTAAGCTCCTGGATCTCCTTGTCGCTGTCTTCCTCTTCCTCCTCCTCCAGCTGCCGGCTCATCATGTTGCATTTCATCAGCTCAATGGCAGCGATCAGGGACTCAGAGATGCTGAAGTGGGCATTCTCCTGCAAGGCAAGAGCAAAAGCACTCAAGGCTCTACCATGGAGAAACAAGAAAGACTTGGCAAAATCTTGTTCCCCACCTGTGACGGCAAAGAGCTTATTACTCACAGAGGGTGGGAGATAGACCTTAATCCCTGCCAACCGCAAAACAAGGGGTATCCTATGAAGAGGATGTGCAACACATCTGCTCTGGGGAGTCAGCACATGCCTCTGAGGAGCCCTCACATGTTGCAAAGCTGCATGGGCAGATCCTGGCTGCCAGACACCACTAAAGAACTCAACACAGAAGATCTGTGCACAGCTCTACAGTGAGAAATACGATGGGATCTTCTTCCCCATGGAGGGAAGTATCACTGAACCTGCAGTAAGATACATGCACACAAGCTGCTGCTGCTGCCTCCCTCACCTTCTCCAGATCTGCACAACTGCCGAAGTCCTGCTCGGAGAGGTAGCTGATGAGGGACTGCCCTTCTGAGGGTCTTCTGAACATCCCCTCTCCTGAGCTCAGGTACTGCCCAGAGTCTAGAAAAGCAAGAGACAAACATGAGGGAGGGACCTGCTGCTATCCCCACACTAAGGAGCCCTGCTAGTGCCCAACCAACTTCCCACAAGCAGGTGCCAGAAGCTGAGGCCACCGCAGCCGTTGGAGGAGCCTGACCAGGAGCAAGCGTCCCTGCTGTGGCTGTACTTACCATACTCCATGTAGAGGGAGCTGGGGGTGCTCAGTTCACTGCTCTGGGTGGAAGCAGAGACAGGCCCTCTCCCTCCACCCGAATCACCATGGGACTCTGGAAGGGAAGGTGACACCAGGCACACATCAGTATTCTGGAGGCAATCCAGCCATCACACAGGGTGAAATGGAAGGGGCTCAGCATCACACAGGCAGGTACAAACAGATGGGAAACAAGGAGGGACACCTTCTGCTCGGCTGGCCCGCTCCATGCCACAGCTGAGGGCAAGCTTGGGAGGGGACAAAGCTAGAGGGGTACTTCAGGAAGAGAGAAGAAGAGAAGCTCATGAGAGCCATGGAGCAGTCCAGTCCTGAGCCTTCCTCTCTTTACCACCTAGCAGAGGCAGGGGACAGCCTCCAGCAAGCACCTCTGCCAGCCCCGTGCTCCTGCTGGAGCATCTCCAAGGGAAGAGTTATCCCATAGGGCACAGAGTCATGAGACAGGGGGAAACCTGAGCAGCCAAGGGATCTGTGGGGCTCCCAGCCCTGCAAAGCAGCTTGGACAACAGTGAAAGAGTCATCTGAAGGGCACACTCCTGCTCAATGAGAAGCCAGGGCTCCCCAGAGTCCGGGCTGCAGCGCTCAAGGTGACCTCCGCAGGGCAGGGCTCTGCCCCATGCATGCACCATGGTGCAGCTCCGTGCTGGGCTGAGCCGGTGGGGACTGCCAGGAGCAGACCGAGACCAACAACAACTGGTGCTGTACGGAGAGCCACGGTCCCGGGGAGGGCCCGGCTGGGTGTTGGAGGACTGCTGAAGGAGACCGAAAACACCCCAGCTGGAGCAGGACAGAAGCACAGACATGGGGCAAGTGCTGGCTGACACCCTGAGCACAAGAGAAGGGCAGCCCTGCCTTCTCCACCTCTTTGCTCCCAGCTTTGTGCCATAACCCTGATGGGACTGGAGACTCCCAAGCCCACCAGCACCTCCCTGTCAAGATCATGAAGTAGCAGCCACCAGGATGGGGCCTGGGACAAGGTGACACGGGAGATCCCTTGGGGTGGGAAGCTGTAGCTTGGCAGGGTCTCCCACAGTCACCTCAACCCCGCTGAAAACCACTATGGAAACCACCAGCCATGTGCAACAGAGCCTACTGCTGCAGGGCAAAGCAAGGCAGTGCCCAGCAACCTCTGCTGGAGCAGGACACGGGGCTGGACACATCTTTTCAGATGCCCAACACTTCCAGGAAGTGCCTTCCCAGTTGCAGAGCCCTCAGCACCCAGATGTGAGCAAGACAAACACGGTACTGCTGCTGTTAAACAGATGCAAAAGAAAACAGCCCTTTTTCTTCGAGCTGCTAACACTTTCTGTGTGTGGAGCTGAGGAACAGCAGCACCCCAGCACCTCCACTTGGAGGGAAACCTGTCCTGAGCCCATGGCTGCCTGAGGCACGGCTGAACTCAGCCAACACCAAACCTCCCTGTGCTGCAGATCCACTTAAATGAAAGGAAAAATAAGATGCTCAAGCCCACATGTGCCTAACTGCTAGCCCTTATTCACTAGGTGAGAGATGAAACCTCTCCTGGCTCCTGAGGCTGAGGGGTAGAGGGGAGGGCAGGGGACACAGCTCAGGGACTCGGTGGCCAGGGCTCCCTAATGCCATGCAGAGGAGCTGGGTGCCCTTCTGAGTCTGGTCCACTGCTCCGGAAAACCATGCTGGGATCTTCATCCAGGTCGCATGCATAAACCTGACCATTCAAAGCACCAAGCGGGACGCAAGGAAGAAGAATTTTTTGGTTTTGGAATGGACACTGATGGGATGATGGAAACCCTGAACTTGATGCAATGATCACTAATGAAGGCTGTTATGCTGGCTCCCAAACCTGCCACTGGATCTTCTATTATAATGGTGATATCCCTGAGGCCTCCTGGGCAGACAGAGGAGGAGGAGAGCAGCGTTAAGGGAGAGAAAACAGAGACAGACTTGTTACTGCTCAGCAAGGACCTCCCACAAAGACAGCACTAGTGGGCTTTTTTTTTTGCTCCTACAAATTGGTTGTCCCCTCACATCCCAGTACCCACCCCCTGCATGCATTCACCCATTGAAGAGCACAGGAAGGCCCAGCAGGTTACCAGTAGGATGACATCCTACCAGTAGGACGAGCCCAAGCCACAGCCCAGTTATCCACCATGGCCCAGTTGGGCAATGCTGTGGGGAAGCAAGACAGCTTCAGCCACAGCATTGCTGCCATTTCCTAAGTTTTTGGTAAAAGCTGCCAATATCAATTCACAGACTGGCCCAAGGCATTCTGGGAAGCAAGATGTCAGCCCAGCACTCCAGTGCAGAGTGGTAAAGCTAAGGGCAAAGACCAAATTTCCCAACCGTTCACCTACTGCTCCCCTTGCCAACCAGATCCATGGAGTCAAAGGGGCAGCCAGCGGCAGCCTCCCAGCACCAAAGGCTTCCACACCTCAAAGGCATCCCAAAAAACCTGTCCCATTACCGTGAAACTTTCCCGAATTCACATTGGTGTCTGAGTGTGACCGCACGTGGCTCTTCTTGAGGATGCCCTGTGGAGCTGACGACTGTCCCTCTGAGAAGCTGGACCGGCGCAACAGGCTCAGGCCCCTGCTTGCACCCATGCTTGCCCCCTGCTCCCCCTGGGATGAGACAGAGTCCAGCTTCTGGGAGCTGCTGGAGGAGAAGAGTTTGGAGCTGCTGCTCTTGGTGCTGCTGGTGCTGGCGCTGCTGCACGCCCGGCCTCGGCGCCCCAAATTTCCGATGGCCAGGTACTCAGGCCCATCATTAGCATCGCTCTGAGGATCATCCTGACTCCCCGTCCAAGTGTCCTCGTTCTGGCTGGTGGTGCTAGAGCTCATCTCACTGGCTGGAGAGAAAGGGTCTTTGGGCGAGGGGAGGTGGAAGCGGGTGACAGAGCCGGGCTGCTCCAGAGGGGACCTGCCCTCACTGAAGGAGGAGGATCGGCTGGATGAGCAGCGCTCCTGGGGCTGGCTGGAGCTGGAGCTGACAGAGGAGCTGGCTGTTCTCCTGTCTGGACAGAGGCAGGAGCAGGATGTCACACACCCTGGTACAAGCAGACCACCTTAAGGCAATAACCTTATGGCTACATACCCACACATCCACCCACTATGGGCAAAAGCCAAGGATCTCCCTCCCAGCGTGGGCAGAGATCTTCTTGCACTCATCCAAGAGCAGAAAAAAAGGCAGTCTTTTCCAAGTCTATCCTGAGCTCCCCAGCCCACCCTGGTTACCTGAGAGGCCAGAGGAGGCTGGATGGTGGAGGCTGGAGAAGGACCCAAAGCAGCGCTGCTGCGCGCAACCTGCAGCGGGGACGTACGGGGACGCAGGGAGGGCAGTCAGGCTCTGACTCTTGGTCACCGGAGTCGGATCGTCACTCTTCCTGGTAAGCTGAAGAGAGGAGGCATCATTAATAAATCAGCATTTATGGGGCTACATATTAAAGGAGCAGCAACGGAAAGGAATCGACCTGCAAGGACCTGGTCACTGACCGAAAAGATGGGGCAGCCCTGGGGGTAGGAGTACGGGGAGGGAAAAATGGCACAGTGCAGAAGGGAAGGGGCTCGTTGTTCGCAGCTACACGGCAGCTCCTGTCGGGAAATTACCAGGCCTTCAGAGAAATGATCCAGGCAGCCCAGTGCCCCAGGCAGACGGCTCTGGTGTCCTTCAGCGTCATGGTCACACATCTCTCTTGTCCCAGCAGAAGGACCCAATGTGCACAGGGATGGCAGTGACGTGCCGGCCAGCTGAAAGAACACAGCCCCCATTTAATGACGTCTCATTAATTGCCTTCCCATGGGGAGCTCTGTGCAAAGAAAGCAGCCACTGTTCCCCTTCTCTGCAGAGGGGGCAGCTGGCACGGGGGTGGACAGGGGGGTCACTGGTGTCACCAGCAGGAGTGGGCACCCAAGGTGCCACCCATTCCCTCAGACGGTGGCTGTCCCTCATGAGAAGGCAGCTCTGCCTGCTGGCCCCGAAGCCTGGAGCTGTTGGAGATGTCCTGGAGGTGCCTCTTACAAGGAACCAGTTGTCAGGTCCTCATACTGAAATCCTTCATGCCAGCCAGAAGCGAGGTACCTCACTGCAGCCATCTCCCCACCCTAAACCTTGCCAGGCTCATGCAGGCAGCACAGGGACCAGTTCACCGCTCTGAACAAGACCTCACACAAGCAGCCGCAGCCAACTGGTGCCTGGAGAGAGCCAGATGGAAAAGCCAGGACCTCATCAACTCACCATGGAGGTGTCGATCTGAGCCAGAAGCCTGGGGTTGTTCTGTTCAACAGCCTCCAGGCACTGCAGCATGGCCGTGACGTGGGCGTCACTGAGCAGGAAGGCAGTGTCTGGGGAGAGAAAGCTGCTTTTTGGGGGGGTCTCTTGCACCCACGTGGTTTGACAGCACCAGTTGCTCACAGGCAAACCACCTTTTCCGCTCTCCCCCCTCACTCCCATGTGTCTTAGAAGCGCCACCAGCTGGATATTTTCTTAATAAGAAGGAAAAGCACCGTTTACCTGCGTAGAATTTCCGGATGTACTGTCGGTTCCCCAGGAGCGGTCTCAGCTGTGCCGACAGGCAGTGGCACTGCAGGCTGTGCTGCAGCCACAGCTGCGCAATGGCCTGGTCCCCAGGGGCCTCCGGGTCGGGCTGGCCGCTCTCCTGCAGGCTGATGAACTGGAAAGGGATGCCAGGCACAGGTTAAGGCACACAGAGGCAAGCAGGGGTTGTTCCAACACAGGTTCCCCTGATAGCAGCACTGGTCACTGTCAGTGGGAAGGGCGGGACGTCCTAGCAGCTCCCCAGCAACCAGGGAGACACAAAAGCACCAGGGAGGAGCCACGCTTCAAAGGTCAGCGAGTGACCAAAGTCCCCCGACAGCCACCAGCGCTGTGAGCTTCTCCTGCTCCCACCCATGTGCCTCACCTCTGACCTGGAAAGACCCTGCACTCCCAAATCCATCCTGACCCTGGTGGTGACGGTCATGTTCTTGCTGACACATTAAGTGGGGAAGGTGACAGCTAAAACACCTGAGCTGCTGCAGCTTGAGGAGCTGGACAGGAGTCACGCTGCAGGATGCAAACAGGGCCCATCAGTGGTCAACCCCCAGCACCCATCCATGGTGGGGACCACGGATGTTGGCACAGGGCAGTCAAGAGCATCCTCGTGTGCCAGCAGCCAGCACAAGCCAGGAACGGGAGAACCAAAAGCATGGTGAAGACACAACCCTGAAACGGGACAGCCCAGACCTTTAGGGATTTGCACAGACGCACAGATCACCTCTGTGCACAAAGCGCTGCTTGTGCCAGTTCCCTTGGTGATGCTCACTGCACCCGGCCGAACCGAGCTGGAGATCGGCCTGGGAGAAATAAGCAGCCGATTGTCTTGGCCCAAGCCAAGCCGAGTCCCCAGGACGTGGTTTGTACACAAACACAGAGCTGCTTCAGCCTCCACAAGCCGTGGAGCCGCTTTACCCACATCAGGCCAGCAGCCAAGGCGCCGCTATCCCACCAGTGAGGCTCGCAGCCCCAGCAGAACCCACCTTCTCCAGGTGATGAGCAGAGCTGGGGCTCAGCCAGCGAATGTCCTTCACAAACTGCCAGTAATCCTTCTGCCTGCAGCACACCTGCATGGGACAGGCACGGTTAGACACCACCTCCCAATTCCCAGTTAAATGACAATATTCCCCATTAGCCCCATGCTACCGTGGGAGGACAGTCCCTGACCCTAGCAAAAGAGGCCAGAAAACAGGCAGAGGAAAAACAGCACTGCTGTACAGAGGAAAAACAACGCAAACGTGTAACAGTTTTGTAGCTCAAGGGATGAAGTGACCTCTCAGCTGAGTTATCTTTTTCTTAGTTATTCTTCCCGTTAAAGAGGAACTGCAGCAAAGTTGCTGTTTTCCTCACCACCCCATTGGGTGTAACACAGCCCCAAAATGTTTCTCTTCACCAAAAGGCTGATTTTTATTTTTTTTTTCCTTCCACCTCTGTTTCCTCTTTCACAGCTGTCAGAGGAATGGGTTCTGTCTTGCGGTTTATTTGTTTGGGGGGGTGGTTTGGGTTTTTTTAAGACTAGAGAACTAACATGGCAATTTTAATCCTCTAGATTGAGTCGAGGTTTTCTGGACAAGTAAATAAAATTCACTCAAAAGTTTAAGAATCTCTCACTCTAGTTCTCTTAACATGTACATATGGATTTTTTCACCTTTTTAAAGTTTATTCCCAGTTGTAGGAAAAAAAGTTGATGAGAAAATAACAAGTAAAAGGAAGTGTTTTGCTGGAGCACCTATGAGAAAACCTCTGTTAAGACGTTGTGTTTTTACAGTCCTCCCTTTGCAGCTGTCTTGGCTTGATCAGTGCCACACGTGCTCAAGTAGGGGAGATACTTCTAAGTAAAAGAGCTGCCTTTACCCATATCGAGGAAGGCAACACACCATGCTCCTGCCCCTGGATCCCTGCTGGCCTGTCCAAGCCACCTGGGGCTCCTCTGAATTGCTCTCTGGGTGGCAGAGCCACCACAGGAAGCCTTCCCCCAGGCATACCCTGCAGAATCGCTCCAACTTTCCACTATAAATTAACTGTGGCGGTAATTGCAGGCCTCTGCACACAAATGGGAAAGAGAAATTCTTCCAGGCAGCCGTGGAGGGGGGAACAGCAACTGTAAAGCACGAGAGCCCGGAAAGAGAGATCTCATTCATGCAGAGCAGATTCAGCTGCCAGTTCCCGTTATTAACACAGCTAACCAGAAACAGTAAAGACGTGAGGTTTCTCTTGCCAGCCCTCGCTGGGAACTTGTCCGAGTGGACACGATACCCGGGCTGACTCATTGCAAATGCAACTTCAGCACTTCGCTGCAGTAGGAAGAAAGAAGAGAGGAGCTGGTCTCAGCGTAGGGGGCACAGGTGCTTTAGAGAAACCACATCAAAGGGGGATGAGACAGAAAGAACACATGCCTGGGTCCCTCTGACAACCTCAGCGCTTGCCAGGCAAGCTCAGTTCCTGCTTCGATAACTTCCCGTGATGCTACAAGCGTTGTAAGCACCGAAGCAAGCCACAGCAGACAGGACCGTCCCAGCTGCTCATGACAGGCACTAACACTGCTGCAGACGGACAGCGGTGCTGGCAGGACACAGCCCTACCTTGTCATGGATGAGCCCGTGGTAGAGGATGCTGTGCATGTCCCTGCAGAGCCGCTCCAAGCCGCCATACTTGGACCAGACATTCGGGTTGCTGGTGGACACCAAGCCTTCCACGGTGGTCTTCAGGTTCCCAAGCAGCTTCCAGTGCTCCTTCCTGCAGAGAGACAAAGCATCAGACATACAGCAAGAGGAGCTTCACAACAGGACCATGCTCACACGCTCTTCATGAGGTCTCTCCAGGGAAATAAACCTCACCACTTTCATCCTGACAGCACAAGAGCTCTAAAACAGAGCTGCAAGGCATAAAGAAGTCTGTATATGTTTATGATGTACTTATGACTAACAACCACGGTCAGGACTTTATCTCAGGAGACTGAAGAAGCAAGCATGAGGATAAGCATGAATAATAAGCAGCTTCCTGAAGGAGATTGGACTTGGGGAGACACAGAAAACTGATCCAGCCAAATTTTCCCATCCTATCCTGAGAGATGCAGATGCTCTTTGACCAGGGACCAGCAGTGCCATCCCAGCATCCACGGATGCCCAGGTGCAAAGAGTATCTGCAGCCACAGAGCTCAAAACTCCACCAGCTCCTTGCCAAGACATTTGTAACAGTCAGAGTTGGGAAACGCAAGTGAAAGCTCAGCCACGCTGTTGATCTCCCAAGCGAGTGAGTCAGGGAAACTCCCTCCTGTGCTATATCGTGCTATAAAAAGCCAGCGATGTGCGCAGGGATGTGGGAGTAGGACACGCAGAGTCGTGCCTTACCAAACGACCTGTCCCACTAAAGGAGGAGCTGTGCATCTCTCCAGAGGTAGGAAACCAGGATCCAACAGACTGGAGTCACAGCTCCCTCCTAGCACAGGGTTAAGCAATCCAGGAACAAAATAACCTCAAAATGTTAAAAAACTGAATGCAGAGGCACAAAAGAAACAAGCAGTGCAATTAAAGCACCTTTGCAGAGGTGATGCAGAAGCTACCAGAAGTCAATTAAATCCTGGTAAGACATTAAGGATCCCATGGGGCTTGCTGGCCCAAAGCAGCTCGCAAGCTGGGTGCAGAAGACCCTACAGACAAAAAATGCAGCTGTTTCTGGTCTAGAACATGGTGTGTGCTGAAAAACACAGCGACACAAGGCTGAGGAAATGGAAACCCATGGTGTTGGCCACAGGTGGCAAGGAAGTCGAGAGACAGCACAGCCGACCACATTTCAGCTTGAGCTGGGCTTGTGGGTTTAACCCTGAATTAGCGGGAGGGTTTGCTCCCCTCCCATTGACAGAGCCTGAGCAGGGAGGGATGGCAAAAGCCTGGGTCCCAGCTGCCCTCAAGTTCCCCATTGCAGCAGGCGTTTGGAGCAATATTACGAAATCTGCTTGGGATTTTTTACTGAATAAAGAGAATTCTCCTTTGCTTGTTCTAAGGAAAGCCTGAGATGGGGTAAGGCCGATCCATATCGCAGCACAAAAACATCCCGACTTACAGGAAGGGCAAAGTAAGCAACACATCCCAGAGGGGTCACAGTACACGAGCAGAGCTTCCCCTGCGAGGACCACACGTGCCTCTGCTCTCAGGCTCCAGCAGAGCCCAGAAGGGCTGAGGGTGTTTGCAGGGGCCACAACTGGTGAGACCTCAGCCACGTCCCTCCCTTCCTTCAAGATGACCTCTGATCCAGCCTCGAATTTTAACCACGCTCAGCCCAGGTGCTGGGTCTCCTTCCTTTACCACCACAAACTCTGTCTTCAGGTACAGCGACATCAACCCACAGTCAGGAACTGTCCCAGATATAACTGAAGCTTTTGGACTGTGGTGATAAATAAAGCCTCGGAGCATGAAATGGCTTAATGCCGCTGACAGTAACGACAGGGAAACGCTGCCTGTGCTCCCAAGGCTTTCTCAGCCCCTCGACACCAGCGAGAATAGGAACTTCTCTAGTCCAAGCCAGCAAAGGTGACTCACAGCAGGGGCAGGGAGCCACGCTGCTGACTCAGGTGGACTTCTTTATTTCAAATAAAACCCATCCTTAGTTACTTTCCAAAACAGAATCACACAGGTAGCTTGTACTCAAAAAACACAAAGCTTGTCTTTCTTGTAAACAACATCTGCTGTGTGTTTCCCCGTAAGCCATCCAGCAATGAACCCTGTCCTCTACCTGGAGGATCCTCTCGATCCTTCTTAGCACACTAAAGAGGTCAGGCTGAGGATGCTGAGGTCGCAGAGGGACATCTGCCAGATCTCCAAGGACATTCGCCGGCTGTCGGTTCCTCCTGCAGATTCTGAAGGCGCCGCCTGCTCCCGCCTTGCTGTTCCTGGGTCTCCCAGACAACCGGCAGCCCCTTCCCAGAAAAGGAATTAAAGGAAAGGCTTCATGCGATTCATCGGCAGCCGTGGGGAGCGGCTGACGAGGCAGAGGAAGGCAGGAGAGCTCTGCTAGCCCTGCAGCACCCAGTCTAGGGGAGCCAAGCAGGCTGGTTGGGAAACCGAAACACAGGGCTGCTTGCACCGGTACTAAAATTGGGGGTGCAACCATAAAAGGCTTGCCCAGCAAAGGCAGCCCAGAGCTGCTGAAAACAGGGATTAAGGGTGTGTTTTAGCTTTCTCATCCTGGCAAAGCCTCCCACAACCTGTGGACGGGGAATCCAGTGGGCAGCTCCTCGCTACCCAAATTGCCGCTCTGCTCCCCCCAGCGCTGTTGCACCCCTCACACCACCCGTCACGGCCACCATCTCCAGCGAAATGGCACCTCACCGGGAATTAAAATGCAAAACCATCTGCACAGAGGACAAGGAGGCCACGCATGGCCCAGGCCGGGATCCTCCCTGGTGCACCAGTGACAGCCAAGAGAGCAAACAGCCCAGCAGTGTGCCAGCAGCGGAGGGAACGATGCCCTCCTCGTCCCCAGGGGAGCACTGGGGGTGGCACCACGTCAGCCCTGTCAGTCACACGACGGCAGAGCCTGCACTTGCAAAGGTAAGAAAATGCATAAATATGTGTCTGGAAAGAAAGAGCAGTGAATGCAACCAATTCCTTTTGCCTTCCTGAACCTGACAGGTCCAAAGCTTTCGTTGAAGGGGGAGAACGGCTCGAACCGTGCAAATCGAAAGGCAGCACAGCCCCGAGCTGCAGCTTTAAAAGCACAGGGAGCATTTTCCCGGTTGATATCGTGAGTAGGAACAGAGCGTCTGGCTGAGCCCCACAGATAAGGAGCCCTGCTCTCCAGATCCAGTTTTGGCTGCTCCCTCCTCCCCAGCCAACGCTCCCGTTCCCCCTCACCTGCCCCACGCTTCTGAGCAAAACCGAAGTGTGAGGCCAAGGCTGAAGACGAGCAACAACCTGAAGCAAGCAGGACTTGTCACCAGCACACCTCCGGGCAGCAACCTCCGCCGCTTTTATAAATGCTCATGAGAAAAACCGTGCCTAAAGCAGAAATGAAGGCCACAAAGGCGATGCCACCGCAGCTCGTCCACTGTCACCGCCCCCCACGGCTTCTCAGCACCTCGAAGGGGCGACGCCGCCGCCTGCCAGGAGGGCGAGCAGGCGGGACCCAGGAGCACCGCCCGACAGAGCCACCGGGGTGGCATCGCGGTGTCCGGGCGGGACGGCT